GCAGGTGGAGAGGGGGGGTGGGGTTATCTGTCTATCCAGCTGCAGGTGGAGAGGGTGGTGGGGTTATCTGTCTGTCCAGCTGCAGGTGTAGAGGGGGGTGGGGTTATCTGTCTGTCCAGCTGCAGGTGGAGAGGGGGTTGGGGGTATCTGTCTGTCCAGCTGCAGGTGGAGAGGGGGGTGGGGTTATCTGTCAATGACTTTTATTTACATTGAATTTTATTTTAAAAAAAATTATATTTTCTATTCATTTCATGAAGTACATTTTGATTCAGTTCTGCTAGAGATGATGTGTCTGCTGCGGTGAACAGACACTTGTTGAATTATGTTATTTGGGTTTCCTGCTTTTGTAAAGGCATTATTTTTGCTACGTTAGATATCTGTCTGTGATGCAATGCCCTGTTATACTGTTTTTCTGTATAATATTAATGGTTTCTATGGCCGTAACGTCATTATAATGTAATTAAGAGGTGGATTTATTCAGGTAGGAAACTACTGAAGGCCGTGTGAAATGCACAGCCCGCTGCACATGACAGATAAGCTATTGAATTAAACAATAACTGTTACTGACAATAACAGCAATTGATTGATGGTCCCTAAAGGACTATTGGTAAGTGCAATGGCTGGAAATGGCAAGAGGTCGCTCGATGTGTCGAATATCCAACCTCAAACTAACTTCACCGTGGGTATTTTCAGCACCATCACAAAATACACTTTTTTTCTGTAAAAACTCAGACACGTGCTTTATTATACAAGCGTTGTTTGATTGAAAGCTTTGTGAACGCGGAAGTTAATTAACCTCCTCTCAGACAATCACGATCCGGGACAGGGCCTGCCCTTGGTACTAGCGAACTAGGCGGTCGCTTGGGCGCCAGATCTGGAGGGGCGCTGCGCTTGGACACAAAAATTAAATTTTTAAATTAATTTGTATTCTGCCTCATTTTCTGCCCTTGATACAATACATTTAAATTAATAATTGAATAAAGTGAATAGCCTTTGCACCCCGGGCCGGGCAGCAACATTTTGCATTTGCCCTGTACGATGGCGCTGTAAGTGATGAAAGTGGGGGATGTTGACTTATCAGGCACCCGCAGCTCACAGCCAAAGTGTGAGCGAGCAAGAGAGAGAGAGAGAGAGCGTGCATCGGTACCGCGGATTGTTGTTGGATTGAGGCTGATAACTACAGATCAGTGAGGTAAAGGACTCTTGATGGCGAATGATCTGTCGCCATGGCAACGGCATTTGATTACACCCCATAATACGCATAGATGTGTTGATGGCTGCATTGTTACCAAACCTGTGAAGTTTTGGGCCATTTCGAGCATTTGAACTGAAGTTGTGAGAAAACCTTGTTTCATGGTGAGCATTGTGTTGCAAAGGCAACGGCATTTGAAGAAATCTTAAAACTGTTAAATAGATGTCTTCACGGCTGGACTGTTAGCACACATGTGAAGTTTGAGCACTTTTTGACAATTTTCATAGGAGTTATAGCAATATCGTGTTTTACCGCGAGGGATGCGTTGCCATGGCAACAGCTTTTGAGGAAAACTCACTAATGGCACATAGATATGTTGAAGGCTGGACCATTAACCATTATCTGAAGTCTGGTGCTGTTTTGACCCTTTTCATAGGCGTTACGACAACATCGTGTTTTATGGCGAGGGATGCGTTTCCATGGAAACGGTATATGGTGAGATGTCAGATTTGACGTAGAGCTGTTGAGGCATGGAGAGGTGATATACAGGAGAAGATTGTGGGACGACCTGACCGTGTCCATTGGAGCTACAGCGACATCGTGTTTTATGGCGAGGGATGCGTTTTCCATGGCAACAGCCTATGGTGAGATCTCAGATTTGGCGTAAAGCTGTTGAGGCATGGACCGGTGATATACAAGCAAAGTTTGGGAGACAATCGGACCGTGTCCATTGGAGCTACAGCGACATCGTGTTTTATGGTGAGGGATGGAAACAGCATATGATGACACTCCATAATTGACGTAGAGTAAGTACTGTTCTGTAGGCTAATACTTTAAGTGTGAACCTATACGCTACTGCCTGCATCTCGGAGGGGACGCTGGCGTTGACTGTTTGCCGCTTCTCCGCCTCTGTCACCCTCTATCACCCTCAGCTACCATTCGTTCTTCAAACTTTCGAATTGGACCACTGCCCTGCATTACACATCTTTAATGCAATGCACATTGTTTTTAAATTTTTACTTATTTTGGACTTCTGTCTCCGTTGCTGGCTGTAGCTGGCTGCCCTCACGTAGCCATCAAAGTGCCGGGTGGCTATTGCTATCTGCTACATCGCCTACTGTCTGTCTCCGTCCCACGCAACAACCGTGGACTCTCTCTGCCTCCTGCCTTCATCTCTGGGGTGCATCTGTCCCGTCCCGCTGCTCACATCCTCCTGCCATGTCGTGGATCTTCCTCGTCTCCACAACAATCCTCCACCTCTGTGAACCTAGCCCGCTAGCTGCTATCGCTGCCATCACACTGCTCCCAGCCATTCCGCCTGTCATCATGCTGATATACTCCATCTCACAGCTGCTGTCATTGACCAACTCCTCCACTCCGTCTTCCATCTCAGTCATCAGACATCTTGGACTCCTTCGTCGACCCCGCTACATTCACCGAAGCACCCACCGCAGTTTTGTTTACCTTCAGCACGGACAATCCATTGCATCCATCTGCTCCACGCAACGCACTGTCGCACACCTNCTTTGAGGGGGGGAAAACCTATCGTTGATTAAACATTATCCAGTGTTTCCCCTACCATTGTCTTGGAGGGGCGCTGCGCCCCGCCAACGGAGCCCCACGCCCCCCCTGAAATTCAAGGTGTATATATAATTTTTTTTTTTTTAAATATATATATATAGAACCAAATTGAAAATAATCTATAACTACTGTCACTTTTCACATTGAACATGTGCTCTTTTATTAAATAAACTAAACGCTTTCATTTTAAGTTGTGAGTTTAGTGTTTTTGACCCTAAGAAACACTGATGCATTAATCAATAACAATAATCCACAGCTCCTCTCTGCTCCAGAGGATTTAAAAAATATATATCCCAATGCCACAAAAATGCATGTGACGTGCTTGAAATCTTGTCTCCAGAAAACAAAAAACTGAAACAAGCGGTATCAGTGACTGTGTTTGATGTGGCTCTTTGCAGTAACATAGACAAAATGTGGCTCTTAATCTCTGACTGGTTGGCCACCCCTGCTCTAGATCTAGTCTCTAGTAATTCTGCTCAAAGTGCACCAGATTGAAGAATTTTACTTTAAAATGTTAAAAAAAAATCTTTCCGGGGGGACAGACCCCTAGAGCAGGGGTTCCCAAACTTTTTAGCCCGCGACCCCCAAAATAACAGTGCGATGGCGACCCCC